TGGGCGTTATGCACAAACAATGAATCATGGAACACTACATCTAAAACTAATGATGTAATGTATGGGGATTAACATAAGAATAAAAAAAAAAAATAGTCCTTGATTTGGGTTGAGGCATCAGTTCCAAACCCATTCAAATCCCAGGGAGGGTAGGGGGAAGGCATTTGGGGAGGGCTCCTCTCTTCTCTTCGATTCACCTCTCCTGGTTCCTCATCAGGCATGGTCCGTAACTTCTGGTTCTCAGCACTGCCCCAGCAGGCCACGCCCTGGCTTGCAGTAGGGAAGAAGCCTGCCCTTCTGCCTCTCTCCCTCCTCAGGCCTCTGTCCCTCTCTGCCTCCTGGAGGCCTCCTCTTAGTTGGTTTCTGGCTTAGTTCTTGGTCATTCATCTTTCTGGAGTTTCTATACCTTTCACACTGTGAACATTGGCATCTTCATCTTAATCAGTCTTTTGTGTGTTGTTATTATTATGCTAAAAGAATTTTGATCTGTTTATAAGACCGAGTCATGTCACTCCTAGAGCTTTATTTTAACCTTAATCTTAACCCCCAACAGATGAGATTTATAGAAGATTAAAAAAAAAAAAGCCTTCAGTATTTCTGCAAATTCTCAAGTGTATCATGGATTGAAAACTCTGCAAATTTACAGGCAAAGTTGCGAGGGTTGGAGATAGGTCCTCACATGGATGCAAGGACCATGGTGCCAAAGGCAGTGGACCACAAATCGCTCTAGAAAAGCTTCTGGTAAAATGCAAGAAGCCACAGCAAGCCATGCCTTCTCTCTGGGACCTCTGTTACCTGGCGAGCTGTGTGCTTTTCTCTGAGCTCTGCTTGAATTTGGGGAAGCCTGGGCCAGATGGGGAGAGAGGACCGATCCCCCCCTGGCTGATGCATGTATTTTCTCTGCTCGGGCCTGAAGTATCTCATAACATTTTCAAAGACTGAAAGACCTGTAATATCCAAACCAGCTGTCACGAAAGGGGCGCCCGGGTGGCTCAGTCGTTAAGCGTCTGCCTTTGGCTCAGGTCATGATCCCGGGGTCCTGGGATCCAGCCCCGCATCGGGCTCCCTGCTCAGCGGGAAGCCTGCTTCTCCCTCTCCCACTCCCCCTGCTTGTGTTCCCTCTCTCGCTGTGTCTCTCTCTGTCAAATAAATAAATAAAATCTTTAAAAAAAAAAAAATAGATGCTCACAATGAAACAAGCACGTGACCCCAAGGCATAGAGAGTCTAGAGTAAGACGTTCCCCACTCCCTCTTGCCTCCCAGCCTGGACAGACAGTCTGCCCCCACATGAAACACCCCAGACTAGCTTGGCCCTCCGCTGGCTGGCGTCTGCTGGCTCTTCAGGCATTTAAACATCAGCAGCCGAAGAAGGAAAAAATGTGTGCCAGACGCTTCCAGGGATGCTCTATGTGCCTCTGGCGGGGCCTGCTCCCTCCTTGCCTCCGGGACCTCTTCAGGGGGTATCTTCTTCCCTGAGCAGTTGTAAGGGAGGAAAGCCACATGGCTTAAAGCAACAGCTCAGGAGACGTTAGGAAAGAATGACATGGTGACTTTTAATAGCTCATGAGACCTGATGGATGCTGGGGTCCCTCACCCCAGAAAAAGCATCACACACCACTTGCTGTGGACTGCTTTGGGGGTTCATCTAGGCTACCTCAAACAGCCTTTGGTCTCAAGAATCCTGATCCTCTCACTTAATTTTACGTAACACCTTCACAGGAGATGGCCGGTTATTTGATGACAGTGTCTAAAAACACCATCAAAACTGAATTCACTATCCTTTGGTGTTAGTTTTTAAATATATTATATAAAATACTTAGCTTGGGAGGTTGAACATGCTTGAAAATTGTATCAATAACCAATTAGATGTCCCATCAGGGGAAGGATCTTGGACACTAGTAAGATGTGCATTTCTTTCTCCTTTTCTGTATTGTTTGCGTATTTTTAAATGCTGTGTAATTACTGTAAAAAGGTTAAGTGACTGCCTGATCTGGTGAGATAGAGGAAGAGAGAGGGTAGAGCAGAAAGCTAACATTGCAGTCAAAATATACGGGCAGGGAGAGAGAAGAGAGAAGGACGTTGCGTGGAGGGCAGACGAGAAAGCAAAGCGCATGGAGCCGGAAAGGAAAACTGTCCCGGAGTCCCCTCTTGGCTCAGTGCTTGGGTTTCACACGTAACTCAGGTGGGCTGTGACGCCCCCCACCCCGGCCCCCCATGGTCACAGCTCTGGTATGGTCATTGTAGGTTTGGAAAAGCATGCAGTGGGACTGGGGATCCTATCAATGGGACCAGGGACAGCTGGAGTCCCTCCCCCTTTCTCCCCTTGAAATCCAAAGAAGGGGCCCAAGGTGCCCCCACCTGCCCTGGGGGCCCGAGAAGATACAGTGGAAGCTCTAGATCCTGGAAGGCGTGGTTTCGGGTTGCATGGCTCCTGTGTGCTTGGGGCCTGCCACTTGAAATGCATAAACAAGCTAATAAAGGGAGAGCGTTCTGCAGTGCCGTCAGGGGTCAGCGTTGGAGGTTGGGTCGGGGGCCTATTGTGGGCTCCCCCCGGGCGCCGCTCCAGCCTCTTCTCCCAACCCCTGTCTCCCCAGTGCTCAGTGACCTGTGGAAAGGGCTACAAACAAAGGCTCGTCTCCTGTAGCGAGATTTACACCGGGAAGGAGAATTATGAGTACAGCTACCAAACTACCATCAACTGCCCGGGCACTCAGCCACCCAGCGTCCACCCCTGCTACCTGAGGGAGTGCCCTGTCTCGGCCACCTGGAGAGTCGGCAACTGGGGGAGCGTAAGTAGACCACCTGGCCAGCAAATCCGAAAGCGCTGGGATCCCCAACTCCATCTTAAACACGCCCCGCCTGACCCATCCAAAGTGATTCTCCTCCCAGCAGAGATGATAGGAAGACACGGGAGTTAGAGTCTTGAAATGGGCTCATGGGAAGTGAAGGGTTCTCTTCTTGGGTGGCAGGATGGCCCCGGTGCGTAGAGCGTGGGCCCCGAAGCCGGACAGCCTCACTGTGCGTCCCAGTGCCGCTACGTCCCAGTTGAATGCAAAGTGCAACACTCTTGAGTCTCAGTTTCCTCATCTGCAAAATGGGTGGTTGTGAAGAAGAACTGAGTTAATATGCCAACAGCTCTCAGATTATGATAGCAAATGTCAAGTTACCTGTATTTTACCACAGGGCTTTTAAAAACAAGCTCCTAGAACTCTGTCACATAGTAAGAGTGACAGAAGAGTTAGTCATTGCTTCTGGTCAAGAAGTCAATAATATCCTCACCCCTCTTTAACAGGAATATTTCATTGCATTAGGGGTACAATAAGTGAGACTATTTTAAATTGGGACTTCCCTGGAATCTTGCCACCGCCCCCGGCTCCGGACTCCTAGGTTCTCAGTGTTGGAAAGCGATGAAGTGAAAATACAGGATCAGTTGAAAGTGGTTAGGGTTTGATTCCCTGCTCCACCACGACCTTGAACAAATTTCTTGACATGTGGGCCCTAGTTTCCTCTCTGTAAAAATAGAATAATGGTAGTACTACCTCGGAGAATTCTTGTGAGGCTTAAATGAGAATATATATATATATATATATATCATAATATGTACACATACCTATGTCTATATAAATACACATGTAAGACACATCTGTGTATAAGTGGGTATCATGCTTAGCACAGAGACGGGCCCACCGTAAGTGTCCCGTACACGTCGCCTGCTGGTGTTCAGCAGCCTGGGGTCTGAAATGACACTCTGGACATGATGTCTCGGGCTGTGAGCTGCGCACCACAGAGCCCGTGCTCAGGAGCGGCATCCCTGACTCTGCTCTGCCTTGTAGTGCTCGGTGTCCTGTGGCGTGGGAGTGACACACAGATCTGTGCAATGTTTGACCAACGAGGACCAGCCCAGCCACCTGTGCCCTGCTGATTTGAAGCCGGAAGAGAGGAAAACATGTCACAATATCTATCACTGTAAGTCGGCCCGCAGAAGCCATCTTTCTGCAGCACGGAGAACAGGGTTTCTTGGTTTCTTTGTCTGTTGGCCTACCCTTTGTGGAAATCGAGAATTTATAAGAGAAATAAGGACTGGGGATGTAATGCACAGCATGATGCCTGTAGTGAAAACGGCTTTTGGTACATCTGAAAGTTGCTAAGAGAGTCGACCCTACAAATTCTCATCAAAAGGGAAAAAACATTTTTGTCTTTTTTTTTTTTGTATCTCTCTGAAACGATGGGTGTTAACTAAACTGATTGTAATTATTCACGGTGTATGGAGGTCAAGTCATTATGCGATACACCTTAAACCCATAGGGTGCTACGTGTCTGTTACCTCTCCATAAACCTGAAAGAAAAAATAAAGGAAACATTTATCCCCAAAAAGGGAAAGAATTTATTTTAAAGAAATTGTCCCCCTTTTTAAAAGCAAAATAGTGTCACTACATCAAAGACTAATGATGTATTGTATGGTGACTAACATAACATAATAAAATTAAATTAAATTAAAAAAAGAAAAAGAAAAAAAAATAGTGTTAGTGTGAACAGGATATTCACTCCATAGGCGATTGGTGGACTGCTTGGAGCATCACACTCCGTTTTTGCATTTCGTGTTTTCTAGGTGAGTTACCCCAGAACTGCAAGGAGGTAAAGAGACTGAAAAGTACCAGTGAAGATGGTGAATATTTCCTGCTCATCCAAGGAAAGCTCCTGAAGGTGAACGTTGGACATCGGTCATTATTTCTAGAATGATTTGGGAGTGCATGGCGCAGGGTGTCATTGTCTCATGGCTGAGCTGATCTTCATCGGTTATTTCTGGTCTGTCTTTCAGATCTTCTGTGTAGGGATGCAGTCAGACCACCCCAAAGAGTACATTACCCTGGTCCATGGCGACTCAGAGAATTTCTCCGAGGTGTACGGGCACAGGTAGGAGAGCCCAGGCTCAGAAGAGCACAGACACCTGCACATCCCTGGAAATACCTGCCCATCCTTACCAGAACATTCTCTCTGTAATACAGGTTGCACAACCCAACCGAGTGTCCCTACAACGGGAGCCGACGGGATGACTGCCATTGTCGGAAGGACTACACGGCAGCTGGGTTTTCCAGCTTCCAGAAAATCAGGATAGACTTGACGACAATGCAGATCATCAGTAAGTCCAGTGGAATGTCACAAGGGAGGGAGTGTGCTCACGAGTCTCTCCATTCAGCCCTCAAGCTGCTTCCTGCTCACTGGCTAGGGACGAGGCTCTGAGATGCCGAGGGGAGCAAGATGAGCTGCCTGAGGTCCAGCGACGACAACCCCGGCCCAAGCTGCGTGGGGGTGGGGTTTGCTCCTTTCTGTTCCCTGCTTTGCAGCCAGTCCCCGGAAAGCGCCTAGCACAGGGCGGAGCTCCATCAGACTCGGGGTAAGAGAATGAATGGAGGGGGTGAAGGCCTCTAAAGGGTACTACTGCACTGTGGGGTGACAGGCAGCATCCCCCAAAACAGGACACTGGATCTGAGAACTGAAGGTCAGCTAGAGTTGTTGCCGGATTGAGCCATGCACAGGCTATCGGTGTGGGGAAGCAGAAGTTTTTAAGGGAGAAGAAAGAGCAGATACAAACCTCAAAGCTAAGAGACTCGTGTGGAATCACCCGTCCCCCCCCCCCAGGGCTCCCCCTTGAAGAGTATACACAGGTGCAGGGGCATATGCCTAGTTTTATCTGATTGTTGATTTACGGAAGAAAATGGGTATACAGACTTACCTTTTTTTGGCATATATTTTTAAAGATTTTATTTATTTATTTGATAGAGAGAGAGAGAACACAAGCAGGGGGAGTGGGAGAGGGAGAAGCAGACTCCCTGCCGAGCAGGGAGCCCGATACAGGGCTCGATCCCGGGACCCTGGGATCATGACCTGAGCCGAAGGCAGACGCTTAACCGACTGAGCCATCCCCAGACTTACCTTTTTAAACTAGCCTCCATGTGAGCTTTCATACCCCAGGCCACATCACATTTTTTTTAGGGACATTAATCCTAGGCGTGGTTAAAGACAGCCAAACTATCCAAACATGTTCCCTCAAATGGAGGAAAAACAGAAATCATGAATAATTAATTTTTTCCTCATTAACATGGCTCCCATAATATTGCACTGCTTTCCTCTTGAGATAGATGAAACTTGATTTGTACCAAGATACTTTTTATTGCCTTCAGCCAGCCTGACGCGGGCTCAAGGCAGAAAGTCTGCAGTTCCTTGCTCAGAAAAACACTGCAGCTAAGACCCGGGGCTTCTCTGCTCTGAAGCTGCAAGGACCCCTTTCCCGGCGGGACAGAGAACTCCTATTTCCCTCCCCCTGGAGCGTGGGTAACTGCAGAAAGATTAAGGCCTTTTGCTGTTCCCGAAAGGCTAGGTGAAAGGTAAAAAGCTGCCTTCTGCCTTCTGTTCCACGAGCGACAGCTTTTGGGGGATTCGCACTTGAATTCCTCCTGATCTGTGGTCCCCATTTGTAGGGCTGCTCTCAGGAGCTCCAAAGAGGGTTAAAAACACAAGCATTGTTTTTATTGGCTTTTTTTTTAAACTACAAGTGAGCTCCAAACTTGAGAAACTGCCATTAATACTTTCAAGATGTGGGTTCTAATTGCTCCACATTTTGGCAATAGTAGTGCATAGGCCATGGGAGGACAGATGAAGCCTCAGGGAATAACTCCTAAGTAGCTGGAAATGCTTTTGTGGCTTATTGCCTCCTATCCTTAAGCCTGGGAGGCGGTATTCAGGAGACCCACAACCATCCAAGGACTCTATATTTAATGGAGGTGACTCACGTATTTATGTATATGAGAACCGGTTCCAAAGTCATCTTAAACCCCCCTTTTGGCTTCCATACCATGAAGAGACTGTGCAGATAAAACCCAGGGAACAAGACTCTTGGAACTACAAATATAATGGGGAAAAAGCAAGTGCACATCTGGATCCATTTGCTCACTAATGATACTTTGGATTTTTTTTCCCCCTCTCCTAATCCCTCTTACTCTTTCTCTTGCTACACTCCTTCCCTTCTGCCTCCCTGGGACCAACCTGTCCCTTCTGTGCCTTTTTTGCCCTTCTCTCTCCTCTCCCTTTCTCCGAAACCCCACAGCCACCGACTTACAGTTTGCCAGGACGAGCGAAGGGCACCCCGTCCCTTTTGCCACAGCTGGGGACTGCTACAGTGCCGCCAAGTGCCCACAGGTACGTGCTGGGGGCTCCCCTGACTGAGGACCCACAGCCCACCCTGCCCCCAGGGGCCCCTTGGCTGCATCTGCCCCCCGGAACGCAGTTAGAACAGCTGTTCTGGAGGGCCACGTGTGCCCGCCTGCGTCAGGAGACAGGCTCAGCAATGCTCAGAGCTACCAACGTAGCAATTCCTAGTGTTTCCCGAGGAACTGATCAGAGCAAACTTCTGCATTCATCAAAATGCACCTATTAAGTGGTAAAAAGCCTAGAAGTAAATGAGACGTCGGATGGCAGGGGATTGCTTAAACAAATCATGATGGTTAATAAGATGAATATTACACAGTGACATGCTGCTCTGTTTCCTGACTGGCTCTTGAAGAAAATAAAAAGCCCTGCTTTGTAGCCTTTGCCAGTTTCCAAGGTGTAAATAGTCTCCTTCCGCCCCACCCCCACCCCACCCCAGTAGACTGATTTCAAGCCCGTTATGTTCTGTCACTAAATGGAGCTCACACGCCAGGGTCAGCCATTAAAAATTCTAAACGTTGCATGATACAGAAAAATTCTTATCCCTACTTCACGTGTATAAAACGTATCGTGTTCAGACCAAAAGTGCAAGTTTAGCATCGCCTACTGGATTCCCTCCTCAGCGGAGTCGCTGACCGGCCATGGCCGTGCCGGACTCTACTTCCATGCTTTCTTGCCTCTTTAGGGGCGTGGCAAGCTTTAACTTGCCCTTTGAAACGTGCTGTCATAATAACCAGCCCACTGCCAAATTTGCAGAGCAGGCATCAATCAGTCTTTGCGAGAAGCTTCCGCCCTGAGAAGCGATAAGGAGCTTGGTGATCGGTGATCTCGGGCAGGAGAACTTGGCCCCTCGTTCTTGGTCTGGTTCGCATGCGGTCTTCACAAGGCTGTTGCTAAACTCTGGGTCAGGAATTTCCCACTTTGCCGACAGGCCTTCAAAAGTCTGGGGACTAGGACTGGGAGATGCATTTGGAATCCCAGGCACTGTCTCCCCAGGATGGATTTACGCCCAACCACAGAGACCATCCAAAGACAAACACATCTGAATTTTCTTTTAGTGAAGTGTTTTCTCAGCCCCCAGCTTCAGAAAGCAATGCTAAACATTTTAGAGAAGTGAAAAGGAAGCTCTCAGGGAGAAAGAAAATAAACAAAGGGCATAATGGTAAAAGGGGGCCTCTCCTCTATTACCCAGGAATTGAAAACTTTTGAAGTGCTGTTTCTTAAAGCAGCTGATGACTTCAAACACCCCATTGGTATGGGTTGCATTTTAACAGCTAATAGATGAGCCCTGTCCTGCCTTTTTCAAAAGTCAGGAGGATTTCCTTGTTTCTCTGTGCGCATCTTTGGGGAAGTTTAAGTAAATGAAAGGTAATTTGCATTAATTTCTTTTAATAGTTCAGAGAGAAATGAACTTATTGATTTGCTAAATCCTGCCCCTGAAGCAGTTACTAAATGAGAAAACCCAAAGCCTAGTGAGAAGCTAATTTATATTTTTCCTAGCCCATTCCTCAAACCGTATTGGGCACTTTGAGAATTCAATTCCTCAGACATGGATTGAGCACCAGCTACGTGGGTATGAAAGCCGTGAGTGTTGCAGATCGGTTTTCCAGGGAAAGATCTGTAGGAGCACACTTGTGCGAGGTGCTTGGGAACAGACGGTTCCTCCCATGACCTAACGATTGCACAGAAGTCAAAGCAGAGGGCCATTCTGTTTGCGACCTTGCTTCCTTCTCCCCCTCCACCCTGTTGCTTTGGGGATTTATTTAGCAATAAGAATGGGTCCCCCCCTCCCCCCGAGAGCCCCCAACTGAAAATACAGCCAGAATGTGGTTTTTCTCTTCTGATCACCGGGGATGCGGCATTATCATGGTTGATGCCGGTATCGGTCACATTTATAGAGGGTTTCCTAGATTGTAGACTTTGCCCAGCATTTCTGAGACTGTAGCATGTGATCCCCACAGCAACCGGTGAGAATGCCCCCCGTTTACAGATGAGAAAATGGAGCCACCGAGAGGTTGGGTAGCTTGCCCCAACCCACACAGCTGGTGCTCATTAGAGGCCCGATTCGATCCCAAGGGTGTCTGAGTGCAAACCCACGCTGGCCAAGGTGTCCGCCTGACACCACGTGCAGACAAGACTTTGCAGCCTTCCCTTTTGTCCCAACAAAGAACAAAACCTCTTTGTCTCAGGCACATCTTTTGCAAATCTCTCTGGATCCTCTAGCATACGCATAACTCTGAATTACTTTTACTCTCTCACGTCAGCAACAGGAGGTAATAGCTGTCACTCTCAGGCCCTCTACCCCCTGAGGATGAGGGACAAATATGTCCCACCTGGAGCTAAGAGGATAGTAAGTCTTTACTCCTTGGGCGGCCCTCAACTTAAGGTGGTGCTTATCAGCAGAAAATGGAGGTCCCCCGTGCTGGGGAAGGTGCAAAGAGAATGAGGAGGAAGACCTCCTGTTCTGTGAGGTGCATCATGAGGTGCACCCCCTCACTCTGAGAGAGCAGGTCTGCCTAGCCGTGCGTGTGGCGCGTGCTCAGATTCTGGACCCCCCGATCAGCTGGGGGCGTTCTTGGGCTAGAAGCCAGGTCAGCAGCCTGGACCTTCCAAGAACCTTGAGGTCGAAGCCAATCCAGTCTACCTTCTCCTGCAGTGCAGGTGGGGGTGGGGGGGGGACTGTCAGCCTGGAAAGCAGGATGGGGTCGGTGGGAAAAGAGGGATCCTGGGCAGTGATGCGGTCTGGACATTATGAACGGTATGAACACCCACCTCGGGGCAGGCAGTAGAGATGAGGAGGTGGCCGGTGGGACAGGGAGGGGATGGTGCAGCACGGGGAGGCCTGTGTCTGGGGAGGCCGGGCAAGGAGGGCTTTGTGCTTCAGCCCAGCCGCAATCGTGGACACCTGTTGAGGCTCTTTGACATAACAGCTGCTAACATCTGTAGAGTACTATCATAAAATAATTTCCAAAAATGTATCTAAGATATCACCTACTCTCTGCCAGGTTATGAGTTGGGTGCATTATAGCTTCTATCTAATTCCCTACTAACCCATTTTACAGGTGGACTCAGGAAAGTGAAGCCGTTCGCCTGAGGTCACACTGAAAGTAGAGGAGTCTGGATTCTAGGAAAAATCCATCCTCTACACCAGAGTTTCTCAACCTCGGCACTATTGATGTTTTGGGCTGGATCATTCTCTGTTGTGGGAACTGTGCTGTGCATTGCAGCATATTTGGCAAGATCTCTGATGCTAGTAACACACACACACATGCACACACCTGCCAGTTAGGACAACCAAAAATATCTCTAGAAATTGCGAATATCTGGGGGCAGAATTGTCCTCTATTGAGAGCCACTAACTTAGACCAGACTAATCACTTCTGTGAGTTGGAATCTTATCTGTCCCCATGTTATAGATGTGGAATCTAAGGCCTCAAAGGGGTTTCTAAACTCTGCTAAACTCTGTAAATATGAATGGCACTGGTATGGAGAGGAAACCTACAGAGTACACCTAGTCCCGGATGTCAGAGTGGACGAGCTAGGATGGAATATTTATTAAGAATCTATCAAGTGCTTGGTCATGTGTTACAAACTATTACTGATGAAAATAAAGCAATACCAAGGCCCTCCCCTCACTAAGCTTACTGTTCTGTTGGAGTCAACAACCAACACAGAACACCTGCTACCAGTATTTCTGAGCATCTACTAGGTACCAGCCACGTCTGCTTGGCTCATTTCACTCAGCCCTCCCTGCAGTACTCCGAGGCAGGTACTGTTATTATCTTCCATTTTACAGATGGACAAACTGAGTTTCTGAGAGACTAAAAAAAAAAAAAAAATCTGTCCAGGATTTCATGGCGGGGGGGCCTGGGTGAGGGAAGAGCCGAATTTTTACATTTAGCTCTGGCTGGCGGGGAGTGTCCACCTCACTGCCCTCCTCCTCCTGCTCCTTGCTTTATTAAAGACTGCTTTGACAAAGTAGGGATTGTGTAAGGTTCGGAGAGGAAGAGAGGAAGCATTCGCTGTGAGCCTTTTGGTGCAGAACATTTTAAATTCTGAAACTGCTCCTTGGGGGGTAGGAAGCCTCAACAGACTATTTCAGGTGCTATGCGGAGTCAGTTTTGAAAGCGAGACGGAGACAGAGGGGAAAAGCAAGACAGGAGCTCTGCTGCAGCGGCTCCTTAGAAATAAACCTGGAAACCCTGAGCCCCTGTTTTGAAAAGAACCCCGGAGCGGGTTGGGATCTGGGATCCGGGGCGTGGAAGAGGTGGCCCGGCCGCAGGCCCTGTAGAGCGGGCCGCGCGCGCCCTCTGCTGGCGATCTCGGAGAACGCGCCTCTCCTTTGAAGTCCCGCCCCGCTGTGCTTAGTGCGCAGAGCGCTCAGCGCGGCAGGGAGCGGCAGCCCAGGAAGCTTTGGCAGCGAGATCTTGTTAGAAAAATTACACTGTGACATTTTGTTCTTGAAGGAATCCGATAATTGTGAGCAACATCAGGATTGCTGTGTTAGGGAGGCAAAATGGCGCTGGTTGAGAGCAAGGGCTTTGAAGTCAGGAAAATGTGAGTTGGACTCTCACTGTATCCTGCAGAAGTTACTCACCTCCGCTGGGCCTCAGTTTCCCCATCTGTAAAGAGAACCCCTTCACAGTGCTCTTACGAGGATGCATGAGATGATGCATGTAAAGTGCCTACCCCAGATCTCCCCCCCTCCTTCCAGGAAAACCCTCATTAATTAGTAGCGATCATAATTAATTAATGTCTTCCTTTCCAAGGTCCCTTTTATTGTGTGGTCTTTGCTTAGGACATCACGTGGACTAAAAATCTCTTTCCTTGGCCATTTATTACAGGGTCGTTTTAGCATCAACCTTTACGGAACCGGCCTCTCTTTAACTGAATCAGCCAGATGGATATCACAAGGGAATTACGCTGTCTCCGACATTAAGAAGTCCCCGGTAAGGTTACCTAGTGGCTTCGGATGGGTTTTGTTTTCTCTTTCCTTCCTTCCGTGTTCATCTGTTGTGGTGGTGCTAGAGGAACGAATGTGCTTTCCCACATCCTCAAACCATTCTGCAAAGTGTCAGGAAGAGAATGTAGGAAATGAATGGAAGGTGAAGCATGTGGAAGTGCGTGTATCAGAAAGAGCCTTGCTTCCCTTCTGGTGAATTCTTCCCTGAGTTGTGAACCTGTGAGCCATCCAAGTAATTAGACGATGCTTAACCGGGAACCTGAAAGCAGGAGGAAGCCTCTAAGAGAGGGTGTGGTTCAGACACTTTGCAGTTAGCCAACATGAGATTCTTTTTGTGAACTTAAGGAAAAAGATGTTTGTTGGTTGTTTTAAGAAAACATGAAATATGAAAGAGGCTGGAAGAAAGGAAGAACTTACCAGGTGATGTTTCCGGGGAGTTAGAGAAGCACTCGGGGGTCCCACAGTAACCAGCTCTTCATGCTCGGTAGTCTTGCCACTCAGGGTGTGGTCCACACGGAGCACCAGCATCACCTGAGGCTCATGGCAAGTGCAGTTTCAGGGGCCCCAGAGCTTCTCAGTCAGGATCTGCCGCTGAACAAGGTCGCCAGGTAGATCATCAGCACAGTACAGCTTGAGAAGCATGGGTCTACGCAACTGTTTCTCAGTGCTTTTTCTTAGAACCACCTGGGAAAGCTTAAAATGCATGTGCGCCCGGCCCCAGCCTGATTCTTTGAATGGGAACCTGAGGCAGGGGTAGAATTTTAAACTCCCTGGGCAATTCTCTTGTAGAGCCAGGGCAGAAACTGCTGCCTGTTAACAGCCTTCCCTCAGAACTTCTGAGCACCTGGGACAGGAACCTGACCCGTGGACAAATGGGAAATTGACCAGAGTATGACCCAGGGTCCCAAGTCCTGCTTCAGCCAGGACCCCCACCCCGTGTATCAGAAAGAGCTTTGCTTCTGATACACAGAAATGTGGGGAGGAGAGGAGAAAGAAGATGAGCACTGGAGAAGCAGGTATCATTCCAAAGTAGGGTTGCCAGCTCAAATACAGGATGCCTAGGTAAATTGGAATTTGAAATAAACAGGCAACAGTTTTTTGTTTTTTGTTTTTACTGTAAGCTTGTCTTAAACATTGCATGGGACGTATTTATTCTAAAAAAACTATTTCTTTGAAATTTACATCTAACTCGGTGTCCTGTATTTTTATTTGCTAAACCTTACCAAAATCAGAATATAAAGAAGAAATTCAAGCTGCTTCCCCCCAGGAAGAAACATCCACTTGTGACTTCTGGGGGAAATCCGAGAGTTTCCCGAGCCCATTTATTTTTTAGCTGCCAGGGTTAAATTTGTCTATGAAAAAAAAATCTTACTCCTTTTTTCTCTAAGCCAATCAACCACCTCAAATCTGATTCACTAAATGGCGGTATTGATTGCTCGTAAATCATTAATGTTTTCCTCTACACTGAAAGGAATAAAGAAAACCACAGCCAGCCTCAGGAGGGGCTCATAATGTACATTTCCAACAATTTCCTGGGTGGTGCTGATGCCCCTGGCCTAGGACCACATTTAAGAACCACTGACCTATTAAATCAACCTCAGAACCTTCTTTTCAAAGTTGGACCTTTTAATTTCCCCAAATAACCAGTGTTCCATGTAATGGAACACAGTTTGCAAAACTGTATAATGTCCTGCTCCCACCATTACCTGCCACCCTGTCCCCAAGGGACTGAGGCATGGTTCCTCTGTGGCACTCAGACCCTGGCTAGTCATCATCCTCTCCTCTCCAGATGGCCCTGCTCTGATTCAGCCTCAACTCATCACTCCTTACTTTTCTTCCCTTTTCTGCGGGAAGCTACAGGGGAAAAGGCACAGTTCTCCAAACCTGGTTGGCAATAAAATGTTTTCCCCAAGCAAAACTGTAGGGAAACTAGTCACATCCAGGATAAAATTGAATCACCAGAACCACTGTCTCATCATCAGGAAGAGAACCGGTAAAAATAAGTCTCATTGTCAGGTTCGCTGGGGGCTCCCCAGGTGTCATGGAAAGACATCTCTCCTATTTGTAACTAACAAAAATAATTACTTTTATAATTGAAATAGCTACCCTTATTGGGCAAATTACGTGCATTAAACCCCATTTTCCCAGCTTTCTCATCAAACCTGGAAAGGGAGTTTGAGAAGGTGGGTGAGGGTTGGCACATGATGTTGCTTTGGGGGAGGGATCCGGGTCCCAGCCACCAGCAGGCAGCCCCCAGTGCTGAAGTGAAAGCTTCTAGTGGCTGCAGAGTACAGAGGTTCAGCTCGCAGACTCTCAAGTAGGGTTGCCTGCTCCCGCACTTACTAGCTCTTGAGCAAGTTATTTAACTTCTTGGGGGGTGGGGTGGGGCGTGGTTCCTTCATCCATAAAATGAGGATCGTGGCTGGGTTCCTTTAGGGCATACATGAAATAGGGTCCAAAAGCTGGCTGCACGTCCCTGGCAAACAGCAGGCTCATTTGAGGTGTTAGCTCTTAATGTTAGCACGCTTCCCTGCCCTGAGGCTTGCAGTCAGGTTTTAGAAGCTGGCCAAGGTGACGGAGGAAATAGGCCGGCTTGAGATGGAAAAGTGGAAGGACCGGGGACTGTGGCCTGAGCTGGGGCTGAGTCTGGACCTGGCTGGCACCCTGAGCACCATGGGGGTCCTGTCCCTGCGCCCCCACCCCCACCCCAGCTGGGAATGGGAATGAGGCCAGGGGTCCTTGGACCAGGGGTGCTTTAGCTTCCCCAGCTGTGCTCAGGAACTAGTGAGTTTCTACTCTGCTTGTGGGTGAGGGACAGACAGACAGACAGGGGAGCATGACCCAGATGTGAGATTGGAGAGAACATGTTGAAATACCAAACTCCTCTACTAGTGACATTCCGTGCACCCTCAACTCATGAACGTGCCCTTGGCCCCATCCAGAGGTCCTGTGCAGCTCCACACGCCCATTCTCAGAGCTGCTCTCTGACCCTCTGTCTGGGAGGAGGTTCTGGAACAGTCTTGAGAGCTGAGCAGAGTGAGGGGAGGTTCACTTCCGGCCACATGAGAGAGGTGCCACCAGTCTCTTTGCTTCTTTGCATGCCTGGGGAAGCTGTGGGGTCAGCAAGGAGCGAGGGGCCTGTGTTTCTGAGGCTTGGCTGCCTGGCCCTAAGCCCTAACCACATTCCTTATGCTGGGAGAAGTGTTGTAGATTGAAGAATTGCTTTGAAATTAAAAATGAATGAACTCTGTATTGTCAGAGAGGAGATGGACTCAATTTATATCTTTTAGCTCAATTACAACCAGTGGAGTTTAGGTAACACGAGATAAAGGTGGGGTGGGGGGCAGAGTGCATGTGCATACATGGAACGGAATCAGTTCTCATTCATCTCCCATGGACTGCCTCTAACCTGCAACTCACTTTGAAAATCAACTATCCACAAGTATAAAAATCATACTATAGGCCAGTAGAGAAAAATTACATTTTATACATGTGCATTTTTTCTTCTATACATTCCTATAGAAGTTTGATATTTAAATATATTCTCTCTTTTTTTAAGATTTTATTTATTTATTAGAGAGAGAGAGTGAGAGAGAGCACAAGAGCAGGGTGAGGGGCAGAGGGAGAAGCAGACTCCCCCCTGAGCAGGGAGCCCAATGTCGGACTCCATCCCGGGACTCCAGGATCATGAGCTGAGCCGAAGGCAGACGCTTAACTGACTGAGCCACCCAGGCTCCCGATGTTTTAAATATATTCTAAATGTTAGGCAATGTATATATTCACATATATGTGACTGTCTAGGGTTATAGTGGGAAATACACACACACACATACACATATTCATATGCATAGATAGATAGATAGATAGATAGATAGATAGATAGATAGATAGATAGATAATCTCCTGTGTTTTATGGGCAGTTCACCATCAGCACACTCCAAAGAAATATAAATAAACACACTTCAATCAAAGATGTGCTGACTCTTCTAAATTACATGAGCCTACTTTCCCTGGTCATGTTGACTGAGAAAACCGAAAATAGTAGTGAGAAGTATGAAATATAAACTATTCATAATGGAACAGAGAGTCACTCGTTTTAATTATATGTAATAGCTCAAACTAAGCTAACAAAATATTCATTTGAAAGAGATTTTTAGAGGGCTTGCTCTAATGAAGAAATAAAAATGATTTATAATTAGTGTTTCATTGTATGTGAGCGGGTACTTCTAAGATGCTGGAAAATATACCTTTTTCTCTAAAATAGGCACTGTTTCCATGACAATCATGTTTATGCTAATCATTTTCTTAGTATTTTTTTTTTTTGTACTCTGTAGTAAAAATGATAAGTTTTAGCTCAGACTTTATCTAAATCAAATTAACAGAGTCCCAATTAGTAAAATAGCATGAACGTTGCAAAGCCATTATCAGCAACTTTATAACTACCCAGACTTTTCCTCATCTCCATGAGAACAGGCTATAATGGAGATTCACACATAAAAACTACTTTTATGATAATAATAGCTAATATTTTTTGAGCACGTTCATTTGGCCAAGTAGTCTGCTAAGTACTTTATATACATCCTTGCATTTACAGCACACCTCTGAGGGGAGACAGATATTATCCCCATTTTGCAGATGCACCAGGAAACCAAGGCTTAGAGAGGTTATTTAAAAATGCAGTACCAGCCCCAGGCAGTCTGACCCTGGTTCTCTCCACTGCTAGGTCAGGAGAGAGTGTGGATAAAGCATGAGCTTGGTTGAGACAGAAGACATTCCAGTGCATCAGCATTCTCCAGGCCCGCAGACCAGTCTGTGGAGAAGGTTCCTAGCTAGAACCTTCTAGAAGGTAGAAGGCTGGAGCTAGCTAGAAGGCTGGTCTGGCATCAGATTCAGCTGGTGGTGTCAGACTAGCTCCAGAATTAATATGAGCCCCTAAACGCAGGACCAGTTAGGGTCTTAGAAATCAGTTTTCCAACTCAGTATCACTCATAATCAAAGGCAAGCAAATTTTTCAAAGAGAAACTATTTTGTTCTCTTTATTTGTTAAATTGGCAAAGTTTTTTTTCTTTCTTTTTAAATGAGATGATCCATTATTTGCAAGAGACTTTCAGAGTTTGGCCAGAGGAAGCAAATCTTCACACCCTAGACCCAGTTCTGGGAATGTAGCCCAAAGATATCCTGAAATGCAGGCACAAATAAGGTTCATCACAATGTTGTTCCCAATAGTGGAAAATCTAAGGTGGCAAGCATTGTGCAGGAATGGAGGGGTGAAGGGTGGCTAATATGACATGGTAGATTTACACAGTGAGATAAGCTGTTACAATTAGACAGGGAGTTCTTTGAAACATGGTCAAGTGTTAGGGGACCAAATTAGCCAAGCAATCTGAATTGCAGGTCCAAAAGAAGAGTGTACATCAGCTTCAGCCTCTCATTCACTCATTTATTCATTCACTGAACAAATGTGTATTTCGTATCACTCTGAGCCATACACTGTTGGGTTCTGGAGACCTTGGAATTGAAAAATACATTGGCCTTACCATCATGGGGCTTACATTGTAGCAGGAAGACAGATGTAAAGAAAGAATTACCCAGTTTTACAGGATGCTGTGTGCCAGGTAACTGGGGAAGGAAGGTATCTGAGAGGAAGTGGCCCCTGGGTTGGGTTCTGAAGAATTTAACAGTCAAAAGGTGGGGTGGTCCAGTGCACAAAGAGGGAGAGGGACACGGAAGAGAGTTCCAATTACAGGGAATGGCATCATATGGGCAGAGGCCCTCTGTTCTAAGGGGCATGTCAGAAGAACAACCCAAAGAAATGCAGAGGTCAGGGGTGGGATAGAGGGAAAGGATGGTATCTGGAGAGTCACAAGATGAATCTGGAGAGGCAGGAAGGGATAGACCGGGGGCCAGCAAACTCCTTCTTTGAAAAACTAAATAATTTATACTTATTTATAGACATTTTAGACTTTGCCAGCCAGGAGGCAAAATCAATAATATTATATATGTATTTATATGACAAGAGTGGAAAGAAATTTGCACAAAATTTTTATTGATTCAATTTTAAAAATAATAATTGAGTTCAGTTTTTTTTTGTCATACATTTTTACCAATGAGAAGAATGGAATATTCACAGAGAATAATATTTTGCTTAATTAGCTGAATATTTTGCCTAATTTTCTATTATCAAGATTGGTTATAAGTGTTTATTAATGCTGATCAG